TTTTCTTGAATTTCTTTTCGTTGAAGTTTTTTTTGTGTGGATTTTTGTATTTCCTAAAATCTTCCTCTGCATCATGTTTGGACAAAAAGGGCAAGATGGACAAATTCGTGGGAACATTTGTTCCAATTTTCCAATTGATAACAATCATTATTCGACTAAAAACATTTTTATAAAATATTTATAAAATATTTAAATTAGAAATAATTAGAAATACATACTGAATAAGTTAGTAGTACGTATAGGTCCTTTGAAATGTGTTGATAAATTGATTTGAATATTATAAAAAGTTCATAAAAACATGAGCCAAACATAGACTAAGAAAGCCTTCACTAATATACAATTGTAGGTGTAAATAGACCAATTTCACTATCAAAACACTTTTTCCAATGTGCGCAAACAGTTACGCCACTATTAATTATGTCCACAGGCCCTTGTGTTAAAGTAAAATCGAGTTTCACTTGGAAATCGACAAATTTCTAGTTCTCAATTTAAGTGTACATTTCCTTCAGAGTGCGAGAGGTCAATTGAGACTCTGTATTTGCCTAATTTCTTTCTTATCTGCTGATGTAGCTGCCTTCCTCTCTTCGTCTCTGGCAACTAAAGAAAACATAATTCAAATGAAGTCTCTATTTACATTAATTTCTAGGCTATTGCTGCTCGTTTCATTAAAGAATGTAAATTGAAGCAATTTACTAATATTTTAGATTTATATTGATTGTGTTCGTTAAATATTTTTGGTCCAATCAAGAATCCTCCTTTCCTATTATAGTTGATTAAAAAAATAAAAATATTTCTTGTTAAATGGTTGGATAAAAGGATGGGATAAACTTGCTAAGGCATGATTGATTGTGTTGTTTGAAGTGTCAAGTCTTGTTTTCGTGATTTTTCTTTTACTGAGGATATAAAATACTTGTTGATTTGATAACTAGGATCACATTCAATTGTTGGAGTACGAAGAACAATTGTTCTATACTAGAAATTAGAGAAGCAATAAAATTAGATTGAGATTCGTGATGCTAGTGTGGAGAAGTTTAATTTTTAGTGCTTTTCGTGGGTATATATACCATGTGGATTGATCAATTGTATCATATCATAGTTGTTCTTTTTAAAAATGACACATTATATCACACGTGCTTTTTATCCTCAACCTTTGTAGTGGTCGAGGAGGGGATACGGTGTAGATGTTGGAATTGGTGACCCAAATTAGGATTACAATATGAGAAAAACCAATATTAAGTTGGAATATTTGGGAATATATTTTTCCATCTTTGCACGTAT